AACCTAACCTAACCTAACCTAACCTTACCTACCTACCTACCTACCTATCTACCTACCTATCCCTACCTACTGGATACTAGTAGGATCACTGCCGGTCTAATGACCGACCTGCTTGCGCGTACATGCTTGCCTGCCTTCCTGCCTGCCTGCTTGCGCGCATGGCAACATCACATATATGTATTTGTATGTGCATACATGCGCACGCTCGAACTTGGTGGTGTTTGCAGGCATGCTTGTCTCTTGACTTGAAGTCCCATTGTGTATGTGCATACATCTCACATGCATATTCAGATGCGCTTAACATCGAACTTTCTCCAGGCTGTTCTTATGCCCTGCATATGAGGCACAAGCTCTTCTCGCTTCGAAGCGTATCCACCAACTCTACACCTTGACCAGGTCCGATCCCACATTAGCTGTCCTGAACCTTAGTTAGGGTTTAGGGAAGTGCAGTGCAGCCCCTCCTCAACTATGGGAAGGGTGGGGGAGGCTCTATCGGGTTATAGATTACTACGGTTTGCCGGCGGTTCCTAGCCTGGACCAAGCAAAACTAAAGTTAGTATTGACTCCACCTCGCCAACGACTGCAGTTAGAGCTTGTGAGAGGGCGGCCCTTCACGACACGAACTCAGAACCTGGGCAGCAACTGCTCTCAATAAGCCTGGTTCATGATGAATCGGACGGAGAACTATAGACTCTAGACGTAGACGTTGCAACCCTTTGCAGCGTTAGAGCACCTGCTCGACATCCCTGGGCGGAGAGCCCCCCGGGACTCCCGGAGATGGACCCATAGGCCAAAGTTAGCTAGGCAGCGACATGCTGGGTAGGACTTGGCACATCTATGATGTTGGCTTATGTATTATAATACATATAAAAATATATATATATATATATATTATGAGGATCCTAAAACTCGGGTTTGTGAACCCCCCAAGTCTTTAGCTGCAGCTGCGCAGGCGGGCTTACCTGGCCTTGCGGCCATTTGGCACTTTGTTCGCCGGGCTCCTGAACTTGGAGGCAGGGTCGGTCATGGCTGCCTCCGAATGCCTCACTGAGAACATCTGAGAGTCATGGTTTTAGCTTCATCATTCTATTATGGTTGTGCACCTAGAGGACCTGAACCCAACTTCATGTGCCTTCAGTTGGCTTCAGCTCTTTCGACCTTTTTTTTCGGCTGGCCGCTGGGAGATTCACATAAGCCAGCAGTCAGTGGCAAAAGAGAGTCGATGACACTTTGCACCCAGGTTCGAACTGAGTTCAAACCCTAAACCTTAAACCTCTAAACCCCAAACCCTAAACCCTAAACAATCCGCCCTCAACTCTGACCGGTTTCGAACGCTTGCAAACCGAAGAAGGAAGAATTGCAAGCAACTCTAAACGCTGCCTGCCGAACCTTAAAACTCGGCCAATGAATGCCGCTGACATAGAGTGGAGGTCGACAACGGCCAAAGGTACGGCCGGCTTGCCAAGGACAGGGCAAGGGCTGCAAGGGATGTTGGGCCTGGACAGAAAGGGCTGAGGATTCAGGGAGTTCCAGTTCGTAAGGTTGGGGAAGTTCAGGGTGAGAACGTTGATGGTTGTTTTGAACTGGGCAGGTGCCTGATGCCCAATGTGCAACGAACAGGTGGTCGTCATTCCAGATGCATCTGCTTGAACTTCAGAACTTGAGGATGATCGACTATAAGCGACCATAGCGGTTGTTGATGGTTGCGGCTTCAGTCAGCTCCCCAATGACTCAGCCCGGTAGCCACCAGGATGCCGAGACTGCCATCGCAGGGGCCGGGAGCCCAATGCAGTTGCTCTTCACCTTGCTGGGAGCAGGAGAAACGAAGCAGGAGTCAAGCAAGCGGTAGATGTAGACAGAGCCACTTCAAAAGATACTTAAATTGTCGTTTGATCGTTACCAAGACCCTCAGACCTAAACTGCCACAACAATGGGAGAGGGAACGAACTGCCATAAGACCCAACCAAAAAACACTGTTTGCTCATGTTGTGCAGATGCTCGAGCGTCTTCGCATCGACCAGGCCTGCTTGGGCCTGAAGTTGAATTAGGGGGTGGGGTAATAGGTCACCCTCATATTCACGACCCTAGACCCCTAGAGTGCAACTTAGAACCACCATACACCCCCCCCGATTTATATAGCATTGGCAAGCACAGTGGCAAGATTGAGCAAGCATATTTCAACACAGTAAAGGTATTAGCTTCACTTCAAGATACATACACGACATCACTCGTGTGCCTGTGCATGAATGCCACATGCATGTACTCCTTCGCTCAAGTTGTTTGCGCGACATTTTCATGCTGATCCCTCGTAATCATCAAAGCAACACATCTTTGCAGCTAGCCGTTGGATGCCTTCGGACCTGTGCAAAAATTGCTGCGTTTTTTGCGCACAGCGGCCCGCGAGAGGCCTCTGTAGTTGGCACGTTTTCAACATGAGACATGAGATTTGTGTGCTCTCAGCCACATGGCAAAATGGTGGCATGGAAACCACTCCGAAACCCAAAGCCCAGGCGCAGTGAGGCCGTAAACGCAAGCGCTGGGCGGCTAACTTAGTAGCCGGCGTCGACAGCAAAAGAAGTCGCTGTGTCCGCGCGCCGAAAGGAAGATGACGAGCGGGCTGCAGCCGAGTTTCTGGCCTTGGCCGGGCTCTCAAGAAGCCAGGTATCTCTTTTGCCTGACATGGCTGCTTCCAGGTTTGAGATATTCGAAAGTGCTAAGAGAATCGAAGATGAGACAAGCAAAGTCGCATGACAACAGCTGCGAGTGACAGGCAGCTGTAGCAGATGGTTGTTGCTGCAGCTGCTGCTGCGATTCATGGTGTATCGACTTCTGTTGCTTGTCTGTCGCCAAAGGCATCGGCTGACCTCACGTGAGCTGTGCTACTTCTTTGATGTTGCACCCTCTGCTGCAGGGGTCCTCGCCCTTTTCGCAGCCTTTTGGTTCATACGGCCATACACCATAAAAGGACGTGAAGCCAGGCTGAGTGCTAGACCAAGGGGCCGAACAGGCTCAGCTGAGGACAATAGCTGTCTGTCTTCATCCTGGCGAACAATGTAGGTACGCTGTTGCAAGATGACATTTTTTGTCGGTGGGCAGCAAGGTTTTGCATACACGCAACTTGCAGAGAAGACGGTCATGGCACAATAAGCGATCACACAGGCGAGGTGTTCCCGTCGTCCTCCAGAAACAGACGCAGAGAGAAATAACGACAAACCCAAACGCTTGGCCTGTGTGCAGCATGCCCGGCACAGACAGCTCCGATGCCCGTGCGCTGGCGGCGGCCCCTCTCGTGCCAGCCCAGAATGTCAGGCTGGAGCGGCTTGTAAGTACTACAAGTAGGACCATGTACCCTACAAACGTAAACTGTCATGACACAGCTGGCGAACGGTATGAGATCATTTCGTTTGCTCTTGCTGCAACCGCGGCTTACGATAAGTGATTGTTGGAGCATTCGTTGTGGAGGGACTCCCCTTCAGCAGCCCGTCTCAACAATCATTCCGATGCATCCTGCCCTGAAGAGGTGGAGGTCGAACGCTACTTTTCAGCGTGTTCTGGGCTTGACCTTGAAAGCATCGCTGCTCTCTGCTGACCGTGGCTTCGACATGCTCAGCCTCTGGAAAATTATTTCTGACCCTACGAGTACTTGGCTCGACGTGGCCACTCGGCAGAAACTGGCCACGGGGTCGCTTTGTCGAGAGGCTTGCCCAACTTGTAAGTGCTGGGAGGTCATTGCACGTCAGCCTTGTTGCGTGTTCTCAGTCTGTCACAGTGGACACGAGCACGGTTTCGGCAGCCGCGCCCCAAAAGCTGACGTAAGCCCTAAACCGTGCAGGTGCAGAAGACAAACTTCTGGCTCTTGTGCTTTGGAGCATTGGCTTCAACGGTTTTATCGGCACTGACACTTAGCCGACACCGTGCCGCCATTCGCCAGAACCGCCCATACGGCTGGGGCCTGGCCTTGTTCATCGCTGCAATCCAACTTGCCCCCATTGTGGAAATGGTGGACAAGATCGGAGACGGGTTCTGCTGGGGCATTGGTGAGGAGGACATGCTGAGCTCGGTTGCATCCGTAAGAGTCTCAGATTATCACCTGTTACTATGTCGGTGAAGCAATTATAGCACACACTTGCATCACATGCACCAGCGTATGCCTTCCGGAAGGTGATCAGTTCTCCACACGAAGGGCCCATATCATCCGCTAGCATGGCTCGGCGGTCGAGACGCCAAGCTATGGCCGAGATGAAAGGCAGCCGGTATGGTGAGAACCTGATGCGTGGTCTGCGAAAGCTGACGATTGCTAGCTTGCCTTTGATCCTTCTGCCACTCGAATGCAATGCGTTTAAGACTCAGAAATCAAACGTACCAAGACCTCAGAACTGTTCCGATTGAACATATCTGGCACCGAGGTCGGCAATCGTGCATTCCGCAGCTCTGCCGCACAGATTATGGAACAGGCTCACAGGACAAATGTCGCAAAATCCGCGCATTCTCGTGATATGCGGTTGTGAGGCATGGCTCCGAGAAATCGCGCAAGAGCCGCATGCATGGGATGCAGATTATTTCGCAGAAGCATCAGCGCTGGCCGTGGGCATCGTTTGCTTGGCAATGGCATGTGCCGACACCCTGCTGTCAAACAGCACGTTTGAGGTTGAAGTGAAGCCCTGCAGCTCCTGCTTCATGTTCAGGATTTAATTTGCAGTAACTTGCACGAAAGATGTATTATAGAAGAAGTATCTAAGGAGTCTTGATGGCAATATCTTGGATGATGAAGTGTTAAGGTAAGAAGGAGTCTCAGTCCGTCGCCGGCATCGTAGAAGTCAGGTAGTTGTAGTAGTCCAGTAGCAGTCCAGCAGCAGTAGCCGGAGTCGCAGTCGCCATCGGAGTCATCGTCGTAGTAGTAGCCGTAGTAGCCATAGTCGTAGTAGGCTCATGCAACATAGTATGAATAGTAGGCATTGTCAGCCTGTTCATCTTGTAGGTTGTGGATCGTTCAGCGACCCTGAAGAGAAACCTGGATCCAGCCTGTGAGGATTCGGTGTTTTTAGGACCCCAAAGTCGTCCAAAACTTCAGCCCCACTTAGACTAAGCTTTATGCACACCAGGGAAATATCTTGGAGTTGAGGGTTTAGGGGAGCCCACCGGGCGACGAGAACCGGTTTGGGGCTTCAGTGCATGAGACAAAGCGGCACACGACGCTGCCTGCCGCATGCCTTCAGGTGCTTGCTTGGCTAGTCTTGAGGATCCAAGTGCGCGGGGTGTGGTGGAGTTTAGGAATTCTCCGAGCCCCGAACTCAGAAGCTCCGGCTCAAGGAGTGTTTGTCCATCAGAGTAGGGCTTCCCTTGCATTCCCTGGTGCATGGCCGGAGTGCCCGATGCAGAACCTTGGCGCCGTACCTTCGCAGTTGTCGGGATGAGTGGGAAGACCCTAATAGAAGCAGTGGAAGTGTCCTCCCTCGATGAGTTGAGGGAGCTCACGGCCGCCAAAATGAGCACGAGTGCATGCAGGCTCCTAACTGCTGATGGTCACCCCTCTTGCAAACATCGACGCGGCACCGGAAGGCAGCACCCTGACGGCTGTTGCCATCTCCACCAGCCTGCTGGAGATCGCGGGCCTGGTGTGTGACCCGGTCGCCGCAGTGCCGGTTCCGGAGCTGGAATAGTAACGATGGCGCTGAGCATTGCATGCTGGTATGGTGGACCCGGGCATTTGTGTGGCCAACCATCAATTCCCTGGCCCTTTGAAGAAACAGTGGCAGCACCTCCGCAGTTCTCACCCGAGTATGGAAATTTGAAATTTGGGTATGCGGGTCACTGGAGAGACTCCGATGGTCCACGCCGGAGATCAGCACCCCGACACCCTGGCGGGTGTGAACAACTTGGCCGATCTGCTCAAGGATCAGGGGCGCTATGAGGAGGCCGAGCAACTCCAGCGACAGGCTGAAGGGCTGCTGGGCCAAGCTGGGAGATCGCCTCGAGACCCTGGTATCGATGAGGCACAAGGGCACCACGAAGAAGCTGAGAAGCGCCACCGACGGACGCGTGAGGGTAGCAGGATCAAGCTGGGGGACCAGCACCCAGAGACCATGGTGTCGATGATCAACTTGGCTGCACTGTTGGAGGCTCAGGCACGCCACGAAGAAGCCGAGCGATTCTTGGGAAGCCAGCACCCCGACACGGTAGGGCTGATGAACAACTTGGCTAAGGTGCTCCAGGCTGGGGGACGCTTCGAGGAGGCAGCGCAACTTAACCGACAGACTTTAGACTTTGGAGGGTCGAACAGCCAAGCTGGGAAGCCAGCACCCGGAGACGCTGCAGTCGATCAACAACTTGGCTGTGCTGCATAAAGCAGCAAAGCCAAGTTGTTCATCGGCTTAGCCTGCAGTGGCAAGATCAAGCTAGGAGACCAGCACCCGAAAGCGTTGACATCGATGGGCAACTTGGCGGAGCACAAGGCCACTTCGAGGAGGCCGAGCAACCAAACCGCCAGACTTTGGAGGGTCGAACGGCCAAGCTGGGAAGCCAGCACAGTCGATCAACAACTTGGCTGTGCT